CCTTTATGGCATTTCCTCTGTAGTGTGGCGCTTTCAGCAATTACTGGTACAGATTTAAGTACCTTAAAAGCTCCCTGGTATTAACATTTTAGGGAAATGTTAGGCTCAGAACTAAAGTGTTTGGGGTGGCTTTTTGCGTAGGAATGAGGGGGGAGGTCTTTCGATTTTGAGTTTTTGGTTTTTGAGCTTTTCTGCTCTGGGGTACATAAGATGAACTTTATTTACAGTACTTGATTTTGGCAGGTTTCCTTCTACTTTTGGTCTGCCTGGAACTGTTTCCATATGATATAAAAAACAAGGATAGTATTCCATTACCATGTGGCTTAGGGATTTATTTTTTCAACCATGTTATCTGGGACTGGACTGCCTAGAATGGAAAGGTAAAATTTAAAAAATGCTTTTGGAAATTCAAATTATAGATAAAAATGTGCTTAAGAGCTGATATTTTTTAAGTGCTTTTTTTTAATACCAGAAGCATTAAGGTAACCCAGTGCCAAGTACCATTCTTGCAGATTATCCTTTTATGTATGACCAGTGCTTACTTAATAAAAACAAGTACATACATATAATTACTGGCAGTAGGTTGTAATTGTTGGGTTAAAAATATCATTGAAATATGGGACTTGTTGCCAGTTGGGTAATATTCATTAGTTTTTTTGTTCACTTGTTTTGATTTGAAACCTGAAAGTGGAGTAAAATTTGACTATTGAGAATGTTGGCCAAAAAAAAAAAATCAAGATTTAAATTTGTATCTGTACTAAAAGAATTAATCATAAATCTCAGTCATCTTATACTTGAAAGAAGTGTCAGTAATTTGTAAATGTTAGCACATTTTCCTGCCTGTGTCACAAAAATCGTATTTATGAATCTTGTTGGAATTGTTTAGTATCTGAAAACTATCAAGTTGTACTCAGGCTTGATCCTTTATAAATTTGAAAAATAAAGTAATAAGAAATTGTATCATGCTAAGTACAAAATAGATTCTGGAAAAAAATATTTGGTTTTTTTGTTTGTTTTTTTGTTTTTTGTTTTTTTCATTTCAAAGCATTTTTTAAAAGGAGAAGCTTTTTATCTTTGGTGACTGAAATTGGAGAATTGTTGACTTTCGAGTCTCTTCTGTGCGAAAACTTAAAAATCAGTTTATATGAAACAAGCAGCAAAAGTAGGTTATTTTCAATTATGCAGCTTCTGTTAATATTAAGTATTCTCTGTTTTACCTCAATTTGAACAAATCAAAAGTTTGCGTGCATGCTGGACATGCTTCAGGACATGCGAATAGCCTGTGAATAACATCTAGATTTTAGGGACATGAGCGTCAGAGTCACTTTGGAATTCAAAGTGTTCCTAAAACGTGTTCTTAAAAACCCCCCAACCTTTTGAGTACTGGACTTGCTAAAGGACACAAATGTAGGACCAGTACCCGCTAGCTGTTCATTTCAGGTAAATGGATTGACTACTTGGCCTTTGGTCATGATTCTAAAATATGAGGGTAGAAAACAGCAAAGAGTGGGATTGCCTCTTAAATAAAACAATGAAAGTGCATCTATCATTTGTCCCTTGAATGTGGAATTTGATTTTAATTTCATAATCTAGTAGCAAACGTGACATTAAAAGGGTGTATTTATAGTATAATTTTAAAATGACATTTTATAATTTTTCTATCCCAAGGTGAAATAATGCATTTAGTAATTTGGGGGTAGGGGAAGTATTGTGTTTAATTGGAGTTTTCTGGTATGCGTCCCTCAGAGATTAATTTTTTTTTATTTTAAAAGATTTTCATTTTCAGCTCTTGAAAACCATTATTTAAATTTCCATAATGATTAAAATTTTTTCCTTTTAAAATCAGAATTGCTAATGCCTTTATCTTTGAGAAGGGTTTCTTAGAAATAGGTCCAACATTTAAACTTTTTTCTTTAAAATGTGGTATTGGATGTTAATTTTACACAGTTCTGAGTACTGTTAACAATATCTGGAAAGTATTTAGAGATCATCGGAAAGTTAAACATTCTGAAATTTAACATAAGTACACTTCTTTTTGATTCCAAGAAAATAAAACCAGATTTTTCAAAGTAAATTCGAATTTTGTTTTTGTTTTCCTCTTAATAGTTTTTCTCTTTGGTTTCATTTTCTTGCTAATGCAAGATGAATCAACAACTTTATGCTGGTTTTTAGGCCAAGTTCAGTTCAGTGTTCTAATATTTGACCTCCCCCCCACCCCACCCCCACCCCCCATAAAACCTCTTTATTTCTGGTATGATTTTAAATACATTTTAAAAAAATAAGAGCAAATTACAACTACAGCTCTATTAAAGATTTTTTTTCCTGAAGAAGACTGTTTTGTTTCCCAGAAGATACACAGTGGCTTTCACAGTAGTAGGAATGGTAGATAGACCTGTATACAATATGCCTCTTTTCAAGGATATTTTAGCTCGTCTGCAGACTTTTAGGCAATTATCTTTAATAAAACAACTAAAGAAGGATGAAAATTTATTAAACTGACCCTTTCTTTTATGCTTGCCTTTGAGAATGGGGGCTGGGGAGTAAACTTGTGTGTTTTTGTTTTTCCTTCAGGAACTTGGATGCTTGAACCTCATTGCTCCCTTCATGGCCAAAGTCCCACAGGCCCTCCTGAGGTTCACCTCTAGTGTCTTTTATTCAGTCTTCTCTTATTTGCCAGAAATATAGTGTGACAGCTCTCTCCATATATTACAGAGTAAGAAAATACTGAGAATTGCATAAAGTGACCTTGTGGATGGAATGAAAGTCTTAATATTTTTCCTTTATCCACGAACTTTGACCACAGTACAATTGAGTGCATTTATTGGATGTACTCATTTTAGAACCATCAAAGAAAGTATCCAACTAAAGTGAACCATTCAGGATTGATTTTAGCTCATTATTTAACATGCTATCTAATCTTGGACAAATTAGCCAGCTGCCCACAGTACTTGGGGTATTTGTAGGTACATTTTTTTACTCCACCTCAAATTCCGTGATCTATTAAAAGATTGAAAATGCTATATCAAAGGTAAGTGGAGGAGGTGGGGGGAGCGACCTGGGAAAGCGTATTCGTACCTATTACAAGTATCCCAATTTATGTTATGTATAGATGTAAATATCTGAGTAAGGGAAATCCAAATGATTTCTGTCCTTGGCAGAAGAGAGTTTCTGTCTTGTCCCATATCCACATTTAGTTCCTTCCACCCACTAGAGAAAAGTTGGAAAGGACTCAGCAAATAATTTCCTTGAAATAGAAGAATTAGTATTTCAACTATGTTTGTGCTGACCAGTTGAAAGGTTTGAGTTTGGAAACTGCAGAAACCATTCATAAGGATAATACGGTATAGTTTTCAAGTCCAAGGTAGACTCCTGAGAACAGTGCCTTTTGCCACCAGCATCAAGTTGAGCTTATGCCTGGTGGATGGTTTTTAGCAAGATTAGTGAAAAGAAAACTTGTGAGCTGCTTTGCCCTTCCTTGAATAGAAGCTTAAAAAAGGGGGCCCCAACTCAAGAATGAGAATTCTATGCATACAAAAGATTAATTATAAATATTTGAATTTTAATGTATTTTATATTTTGATACATTTCAGATTAATATCAAATAAAGCGAGTCATAAAATTCTAAAGTTAAGACCAGCCACAATATTAATTTAATCTGTTAAATGAGTATTTTGACATGCAGGGGTTGGGATATTTTTCAGACATAAAATATATACAAGAAAATTGGAAGGCCTGTCTTACTTTAGGAAATCAAATCCAAAGATTTCCTGAGTGAGAATTTTACTAACTGCTCTTATATTTTCATGTTTCATGCCAACTTAGTGTTTGAAGAGTAAGAAATTTGGGCCTTAACTGAGGCTCAAATGTCAAAAATAAGTTGATAATATATATTTGACCCTTTGCTTTGAAACCTTCAATCTACCTACAAGTGTGTGTTGGTGTGTGTGTTTTCTTAGATCTACATTTGAAGGCTCCTGGTATTACATTTAAGCACTATTGAAAATGTAGGTTTGGAACCTAAAACTATGATGACTAAGTACAAGTCAAAAGACCTTGAAGTTAGGCCATTTTGTTTGTTTTGTTTTTACTTAATGGTTTAGGTGGAATTTAATATGTTAAATATCCTATAGGAAATGATGTGGCTAGAGTATAATTACCTAAATTTTATGCTGCTTACAAGAGATTCACTTTTGAATTTTTTGGGGTGACATTGGTTAATAAAATTATATAGGTTTCAAGAGTACAATTCTATAATATGTCATCTGCATGTTGCGTTGAGTGCTCTAAATTTTCTAAAATAGATTATTTGCCCCTCAGTGTCTTTCTCACTGTGAAGTCAGAATCACATGCAGTGTTTAAAAGTGCAGCTTACTGAGCCCTGTGCTGGACCTACAGTCTGACTCTCGAGCCTGAGGGTTTGCCCATTCTCCAGCTGCGCTGAGGGCCCTGACCCCGCCAAAGGTCTGGCTCCCCTGGATCTTAGCGGGACAAGCAGGTACCAAAGTATGACCACTCTCCGGACCCACACATGCATGCCCTTGCCTTGCTCCTCTGAATACTCACGGAGCTTTTAGCAGACAGGTTCAGATATGCAATGGGAACAAGCCTTGGAAACCAACTATGAGAATTGTTGGTTGGCCAGTGTGCTCACCTGTCCTCCTGCACCCAAAACAAATCCTCAGTTCAGGTGGATGATAATACCCTTAAAATACAATATTTTCTAGAAAGGTTAAAACACCATCAGTCATTTATACATTTGTGAACTAAAAGAAAACCCAATGACTCAAACTGACACTTCGAGAAGATTAGCAGCTCTAAGTGAAAGGGTCTGCAAGTGTGGCTTAAGAAGTCCATTGGAGAAAACACAGACTAGAGGAAAAGTAGAGACGTTATTAGGGAAAGGTTACTTTTTAGGGACT